CACCTGAGCAGGTGCCTGAAACTTGGACGTGGGGGGCTCTTCCAGATCTTCCCACCTCCCACATTTATTTGCTTGTGCCCATAGTTTTGCACAGCTCCTAGCACTGCCCAGCAGCAGAGAAGTGCAACACAGAAGATCATGCTAACCATGAAGCATATCAAAGCATTTGGCATCTAGCTGCAGAGCAGGAATAGAATGAGGATGGCTTCACTGGCCCCAGCACAGCTTCACAAACAACCAACACTGACAGCAGGAGCTTGTGAGCAATGCGGAGCCTGAAACTCCTGAGTGACCTCCTAGACTTCAGGGTCACCTCATAACCCATCCAAGAGCAGGAGGAAGGTCTCCCCTCCATGAAACCAGCCTAAACTCACCAGTAAATAAACAGGGGCCAGTTGGACAAAGCTTGTTGACAAAAACTCCCCAAGTCCCAGGGTATGGGTGGGAAAGGGGGATGAACCAGGACCCAGGTGTGCCAGGAGATGGCACAAAAGCAGCCACCTTACCTTTGAACTTCTTCAGCATGTCCCTCATGCCCAGGCAGCGCTCTGGGATGCTGTAGTCCTCCTTCAGGGTCACAGACACAGCCATGGGGGATGGGAATGTTACCCCCTCACACCTGAAAGGACAGTGATGCCCATGGACTGTATCCAGAGCCCACAGCACTGCCAGTCTCCTGCTGGGGGGTTAATGCCTTTCTGTTGCACAGATACATCTCTCCCTTGAGCTATTTGACTGTGAGCTCTAGGGGTAACTGCTTGTTAATCAGCAAGGCTGATAAGTGTGATCAGCAGGTTGAGCAGCTTCCAGTGCCTAAAGGGACTACAAGAAACCTGGAGAGGGGCTTTGGACAAGGGCCTGTAGGGACAGGCCATGGTGAATGGCTTTAACCTGCCAGAGGGGAGACTGAGATGAGCTCTTAGGCAGAAGCTCTTCCCTGTGAGGGTGCTGAGGCGCTGGCACAGGTGCCCGGAGAAGCTGTGGCTGCCCCATCCCTGGCAGTGTTCAAGGCCAGGTTGGACACAGGGGCTTGGAGCAAGCTGCTCTAGTGGAAGGTGTCCCTGTCTGTGGCAGGGGTTGGGGCTGGAGGAGCTTTGAGGTCCCTTCCAACCCAAACCAGGCTGGGGTTCCATGATGGGACCAGAGCTATAAATGCAGTGAGTGGCTGTGCCAGGCTCTGGGAAGGAAGGAGCAAGGCCAGTTGGGCAGTATGTCCGTTAGGAGGGGACACATCTCATGCAACACAAGGCCAGGCAAGACCTTTGGCTCCCAGGGGTGGCTGACATGGACCAGACATGAACATCTCAGAGCCTGGAGGCAGCCAGGACAGTAGGAGTATGGGTACCTACCTGCACAGAACGTTCTTCATGTCCTAGAAGAAGAGAAAAACCATTCTGGGTGTGTGGCTCCAGAGCCTTGTGCCCACCAGTCAGTCTGACCCTGGCCACTCACCCAGGCAGCAAAGGCACTGGGGTTGAGTTAGCGGGGCTGGTGGCATAGCCTGACCTTGAGCAGCCCATCAGCTGGCTGATGTATCTTCTCCTTTATCTCCAGGATCAGCTCCTCCAGCAAGCACTTCTGCTCCACCAGTCTGGCCAGGTTTTCACTGATCAACAGCAGAATCCTCTTCTCCTCCTCCTCCAGCTTCTGGAGCAGCAGCTTCTCCTCATCGGCCAGCAGCCGATGCAGCTTCCCGAACTCGCTCACAATCCTCTCTCGCTTTTTCTTCACTGCCTCCTTGTGATAGGAAGAAACATGGGGTGAAGACAGGCAATATTAGCCAGCAGACAGGATGGGGCCAGATGCTCCAGCAGCCAGCATCAGGCCCTGGGAAACCACCACATTTTTCTGCTAAGTGCATTTAGTTAAAAAAAAACAGCCAGAGGCCAAGTGCTGAGCTCCCACTCCACAGACTGTTTATCAGCAGTAGGACCGCCTAGGGCATTTCTGCTCAGCTGGACATCGGATGTGTAATGATGACTTGGTGCAGCACTGGGGTCTACTGGGCTGCGAGGGGATGCTATCAGGGCTGGTTTGTATTAGATGTGGTACAACCTGTACCTCTAGCTAGATCCAGACACAGTCACTGCTTGGGCCGCCCAGAAGAAAGGCTGGAAAAAGACTTGGTTGCTAACCAAGGGAGACAAGGTAACCAAGGGTTGTTAACCTCTTTCCAAAGGGAAAGAGGTGGAAGAAGCCCCAGGGCTGGGGAGGTATGGAAAGGGGGAGCCAGGGTGTCTCAGCACAGCCTGGGGTGAGGAGACAGCAACAGGCATGGTTTGCTGGTGCGTTAGGGATTTTCTTTTCAGCCCTATAAATTGGCTCAAAACCCAAAGCACCAGGAAAACATGCTGCAGATAGCTAGGGTCATGGAACCTCAGACTGCAGGAGACAAATGAAAGGAAACTGAACTGCATTTATTTTTCTGTCCAAGCACATGATTTCTTGGACCTGAGTCATGGAGGTTTGATAAGCAAGGATGGTCGCAGCCACTTCCCCTCCCAGCTGCTTACAAGGGACTCCCCAGCTCGGGTGAATAGGGGACAGTGACATGGCTCATCCACGACCTCCATCCCCCGCCCCATCTTAGACCCAAGGGGGACACTTCAGGGCTTGGCTGGGCTGTGGGCAGGCAGCGGAGCTGAGCAGACAACTGGAGAAACCAGTTTTCTCTGCCAAAGCTGATTAATCATCAGCTCCAGCTCAGAGCTGGGTAACTCGGTCCCGTGCTTCCTTTCCTGCAGTTACTTTCACTTCCCTGCTTCTGGAGGGATGTGAAATGCAGCTGTTTTGCCGGTGTTTGCTTTCCCTGGGCTGCTGTGGAGTCCGGCAGAGGTGCAGTAATTCAGCTTTTCTTTTTCTTAACGAAAATAGCTCCTATTGCTGTGGAGCAAAGCTCACTTTGTGGCTCATGCCTGGCTTCTAACTCATGCACATATTGTAAAACAAAGGGCAATTACAAAATAGCCAGTGTCCGTTTGTTTAACCCTGTGGTTTCGGGGGAGCTGCCCTTCACAAAGCACTTCTTTCCTCTTGAATTTTTTACAGTTGCACAAGGTCACTCCGGTTAGAATTAAGCCAGACACGTGCCTTGCACTCCTGGCTCTTCATCCTTTCTGCCAACTCACGCTTCCTAACGTCCTCCACTTCCTTTGAAAGATGCTCCAAGGATTTCTGGAGTTTGACCTGGAAAGCGAAGAGACGGGCTCAGCCCCAGCAGCACCCACAGGCTGGCTCCTGTCCTTGTGCCAGCTGGGCCCTGGCACCCAAACCCAGCAGCTGCGCTCCTCACTCCACTCCCAGCATTAACCCTCTCTGTGCTCCCTGGGTTTTCCCCATGTTTTTCTTACTGTTTAGGTTTTGGAGAGCAAAGTGGCTGCCCCCTCAGTGCTGGTGTGTGGGGCACACTGCCAGGAGCATTACTGGGATGCTGGGACACGGGGTTTGAGTGCCAGTAGCTCTGCACCACTCCACCAAGGCGACAGTCTCTGCCACCCCTCCTCTGCTGTCCTGGTGGTGCTGCCAGGGCTGTTGGGAATGGGGTAGTGGGGTCCTGGCAGCTGATCCCCCTGTGCCCAGGGTGCATCGGAGCATGATGGGGATCCCCAACCTCCCCTACCTTGTAGACCTGCGCGGCCTCCTCAATGGGGTAGACGGTGTGCGGGCGGTGGTGCAGGGACTCCCGGCACACCACGCAGATGGCCTCCTCATCCTCCTCGCAGAAGAACTTGAGGCGCTCGTCATGCTGGGGGCAGAGCGGGGTCCCTGCTGCCGGCTCCGTCCCCTGCCCGCCCCGCAGCCCCAGCTGCCGGATGCTCTCCACGATGTTGGCCAGCTGCCTGTTGGGTCGGAAGCCACTGCGGTGGCAGGAGGCCCTGCACTGTGGGCAGGAGAAGGGCCCGTCAGCCCAGAGACCCTTCTCTTGGCAGTGCTTGGCGATGCAGCCCCGGCAGAAGTTGTGCCCGCAGTCAATGCTGACAGGCTCGCTCATGTACTCCAGGCAGATGGGGCAAATGGCCTCCTCCTGCAGCCGCTCCAGGGCCCCCGCCAGGGCCATCGTGGCCTCCGTGGCCTTGCCAGGTGCTTCCTTCCCACCACGGTCGGCGCAGCCGGTGAGCTGCTGGCGAGGCAGCACTGGCAGCGCCAGCAGAGCCAGGGAGCAGTGGCCTGGCTGCTGTGTGGCACCGGCCACCGAAGCCTCTGCCGTGACTGGGGGAGGAGCGTGGCAGCGACAGCTGCAGCCAGCCCGGAATGCTGGGGCTCCTCCAGCCCCGTGGGTCCAGGGAAAGAGAAACCGAGCAGGAGAGTGTGATAAATCGGGAAGCGCCAGAAATAACCTGTGCGCAGGCACTGGGTGGCAGAGGGGACAGTGTTCACTGAGTGCTGAGCAGAGCACCCATGGCGTCAATGAGAGCCCTGCCATTGCCTGCCTGCTGCCTGCTCTCTGCCCTTACTGCTGCCTGCCCTCTGCCCTTACTGCTGCCTGCCCACTGCCCTTACGGCTGCCTGCCCACCGCCCTTACTGCTGCCTGCCCTCTGCCCTTACTGCTGCCTGCCCTCTGCCCTTTACTGCTGCCTGCCCACTGCATACTCACAAGCTGTCTAAAGGCACCGGCTGAACTCAGTGCACAACACCAAAACATCTCCCACAACACCCACCCACCCCAGAGAGCTGCAAGTTTGGACATAGGGCAGGCAAGGGGTACGAAGCACAGGGAGATGCCCACAGACCTGCCAGGAGCAGGCAGGAGGAGCAGTGCTCCACTGTGACAGGGGGTTGTACAGCCAGGAGCCATCCCACCACCCCACAGACCCACCTAGTGTCAACCTGTACCTGCTCCCAGCCTCCACTGCCCACCACAGTCACTGCAAAGCATCCTGAGAGCCACTGGGAGAAGCTGGAGGTTTTGCTCTTTTTTATTATACAAAAATAGCTTCAACACAGTCAATACATTAGAATGAAAAGTTCCACAGAAATGCCAAACAAATTAACTTAAATATAACTTAAAGAGCTGAACACTGTATTAAATAGTCTGCCAAATTCAGGAGTAATAAGAAAACAGGGATGTGTCTCAGAGGTGCCCATGAGAGTAGGTCCTTGCAGAGGGGATGCTTGGAGGAAGCAGGGTGTTGCTTATCCACTGCCTGCGTTGTTGTGGTGATTCATGATGTCCTGGACCCACTTATCACCAGGTCTGCCACAGACTCTCTTACCTTGGCCTGTGATAAATCTGCAGAAGGAAATCCAGTGAAAGGATAGGGCAGGGGAGGAGGAGAAGAGGGGAACTGCCTGCTCCTTGCCACCCATGAACTCCAGCAAACCAGACACTTCTATAGCTGCAGACTCCCAGGGAAATATGGGGTAGGGGGTTGGCTTCATGTCATTACAGGGAATCTGCTCCCTGCTGCTTAAGCCAGTTTGTCCTCGCCTGCCTAGTCCAGTCAGGACACCATCCTGGCTGGGTCCCGCTATCTGGGCATGACAGGGGTGGTCAGCAAAAGCTCTTTTGACGCAAATCCAATAGGGAGGTCCAGAAACTGGCTGCCTGGGATGCGGGATTGGCCTCTGAGGTATCTCCAGGCTGTTCTAGCATGGGAGAGCCCAGACTGGTGTTTTCCCTTGCTAGGACTTGTGTAGGTTCCTGGCACTGCCACCCTTCTGTGGAGCAGGGTGGCCAGTATTTGGGCAGGAGATCTACTCACATCACGGCTGGCAGGTGGCAGTGCCTGCCTGCATATTCGTACGTCACCACGCGGTGCGAGGGAACTTCATTGGTTGCATACCGGTGGCAGCAGGAACGACCAAACTTGACAGCCTCTGGAAGAGAAGTTAAACTTTGTGACGAAACCAGACTGGGAAAAGTGCCAGTGGGGAGAAGCAGGGTCAGAAAAGCAGAGGGTCCCTGCTGCAGGCAGTGCTGTTCCCAACACAGGTTCCCACCGCAGCCACCCTTCCCTCAGGAAGCCAAGGAGTAGCAAGACAGGCCTCTCCTTCCCTGCAGCACATGCTTGGAAGAGAAAGCTGCCAAGCATTGCTAAACTTTATACAGCACAGAAAGAGTAGAAAAGAGAGCTCCTTGGAGAAGAGAGCTTGGACTCACCTGGAGAAGAGGAGACCTGATAGCAGAGGACAGCCAAAAGGAGTACAGCAAGGGCAGCTGTGGAGGTCTTCATGCTCCTGTTGGGTGGAGATAAATCGTAGGAGTAGATAAATTATAGGAGTCAGGCCAAACTGCTGCAGGTCTTGCTGTGCCTGATGTGGGATTCCTGGGTTCAGCTCATTTATAGACACAGTGAGCAAGGACGGAAACACACCAGAAACATTGCTGAAAGACATGACACAATGGAAAAAGTGCTGTGTCAGAGGTTCTTGTGAAGTACCCAGAACCCCAATAACAGCAGTGCCCTGGTGTGCCATATCATATAATGATATGATACCACAAAATGACAGAGAACAGGATATGACCTCTCTTCTTTTCCTGTTACTCCTGACCAAAGGACTCTGTAGAGAACCTAGAAGGAATAATTCAGATTAGTAGATGACCCGCTTACCCAGAAGTGACATGACGGCAATGGGTGGAGGATGGCTGTGACTGCTACACACCGTGTTTCCTAGAATATCTGCATCACAGACTTAGGATAATTCACTTCTCCCACAGCAACTGGAGCTCAGAGAATGCATGAGTCTGCCCTGCTTGCAGCACTGCCCCAGGGAGATGCGGACTTTCTCCATGAGATCCAGAAGGCCATCAGTATGTAAACATGCAGAGCAGAGGGTACAGCATGGTGCCATCCCAGGTCTGGGCTCCTCTTCTGTCCTTGACTATCAGTTGCAGTGAGTTATTAGGAAACTGGTTCTGTTGCTACATTGCAGTTTCACAAACATCAGTGACAGCTAAAACAGCACTCTGTTACCTATGGACATGAGAATCAGCCATGAGTGTTTATAAAGAGCTCTAGAAGCCCATGTCAGTGCTGGCACAGCAGAGTTGGCTTAGGTGATTATTTGGTTCCAGCAGTGTAGAATCGACGCTCTCCTGACGCTACTTTGTCATTTCCCCAGCAGCCACAGACACATAGAGAAGAGATTTGCTGGTTTAGCTCATGTTTGGGACGGGAATGGTGTCACTGCACTGGCAGAAAAAACACTTATCAAATGCTGAATCCATACAGAAGGGCTCTGCTGGCTTCTGGGCAAAGGCTGGTGGATGAAGCCTCAGGAGAATAAGAGGAAGAGCAAGATCTTCATGGTGCTAGTGAACGTGCCCAGGCCTGGGCAACCACAGCTGCAGAGGGAAAGCCACACAAGCAGGCTGCCTTTCATGATGGTCCAATGAAGAAAGGGATCTAGCTCCTCTATGGAGGAGGAAGATTACAAAAGAGAAACGGCTGCCAAAAGTGGTGGCCTTGTAGGAACCCAGAGGAGGAAGTAGAAGAGAATTAAGAGATTCCCTGGACCAGCTGAAGGAGAGCTGATTCCAGGCCTGGGACACCCAAGGACGTACCATCACCATGTCTCAGTAGACTGATTGAAAAAGTGAGCCAGACTTGACAGGAAGTGTGGCCCAGGTGGCACTGCAGGATCTGTTTTACACAGAGCCTTTTGTTTCACTACGACGCTGTTACTACGAATAAGCAAAACTGAGCCAGGGTGAGACCACACACACGTGGGTGCCTTGATGCCATGGAGCTGGAAGCCTGGTTGAGCCTGCAGAGCCCTGGCATCCCAGGGCACCCGCTGCCAGCAGGGCTTTGGGAAAGATGCTTCCTTAGCAGGAACAGGCACCTCCTACCACAGAGCAAGAAGGCAGCCTCCCACATCCTCTGCAGCCATTGTTGCACAGTCCCCAGCTTTGCCATTGCACCAGTGAAGGATTTAGCATAGCCAGTTGCTTTTCTGCGTCTCTCTTACCCCACTGATGGGATTGCTGCTATCCCAGATCATACACAGGGGTTAAACTCACAGACAGAATCAAGACAGCCCAAATCAAGGCTGAGGCTTTACTTGCCTGTGACAGAGGTATCTTACAGTACCCCACTCTGAACAGCTGAGGCTCTTCAGATTCATCTGGGATCCTGACTGCTCTATAATCATAGAATCCCAGACTGGTTTGTGTTGGAAAGGACATTAAAGCTCACCCAGTTCCAACCCCCGAGCCATGATCCCAAATCCACGGCACCTCTGCACTCTCCCTCCTTGCTCCAGCTCTTCCTGCAACATGTGTGCATTTGTGCTTCCAGGATGTGGGGGGGCAGATGCAGCCACTCCCTTCCAACCCCATGCCCAGTTCAGCCATGCACCACAAGCAGTTCCCCTCACCCTGCACCCATGCACACCCCTGTCCCCACGGGCTGTCCCAGCCACTGCTGTGCTGCCTGAGACATGGCAGCCTGATGGCCAAGGTAACAGACCAACACCCCTGCCTGAGGCAACAGACAGCAGACTGAGGCTGGGGGTGCTAGAAACAGGCTTTGACACAGATCCCACTGCCAGACTGGTGTCCTGGGTTCAGCAGTAGCAGTCATGTTTCTCCTTCTTGGTAGCTGGTGCAGTGCAGTGTTTTGACTTTCAGCTGGGGAACAGAGCTGATAACAAGGATGTTTTGGTTTGGCCAAGGACTTTGTGAGCCTCAAGCTCTGCCAGGGAGGAGGGGAAGCCGGGAGGAAGCAGAGACAGGACACCTGACCCAAACTGACCAAAGAGGTATTCCATACCACAGCCCGTCATGCCCAGGATGTAACTGGGGTTAGCTGGAAGGGCTGGGAGACTGCGGGGTTGGAGGAGGTATCAGTCAGAGCTTGGTCGGGCTTGGGGGGTGAGTTATCGGTTGGCTGGTGGTGAGGTGTTGTATTCTCTTCCCTTGTTATTTCCTTTATCATTATTATTATTGGTGGTAGCAGTAGTGATTTGTGTTATACCTTAGTTACTAAACTGTTCTTATCTCAACCCGTGGGAGTTGCATTCTTTTCAATTCTCCTCTCCGTCCCTCTGGGAGTAGGGGGAGGGAAAGAAGGGGGGAAGTGAGTGAACGAGTTACCTGACTGAGTTTAAACCACGACAACTGGGAAACCACATGGAAAGAGGTGAGCTGAGATGGAGCTGAGATCAAGCTGAGGTGAGGCGAGGTGATCGCAATGCAGTTGGTGACCTGCTAACTGAGGTGCCACCAATGTCCACCACTTTCATTCCTCTGCTCCTGCCATTCCTACCAGTGCGTTAAGACCCAATATTTGCACACATCCCCTGCTCAGACCAATCTTAGCATTCCTGTTACACATCTCCACACAGAGACCAGAATAAAACTGAGAGGAGGAGAACAGGCTCAGGACACCCTCGCTGATGCAGCTCACACCAACACAGCCCAGCCTGGAGCTGCTTTTAGCTAATGTTCTGGATGTTCTTGCAATATTCAAATATGGGTTTGATGGAAATGTCAAGATTCATTCTGAAAAATCAATATTTTCCATCAGGAATATGAATGTGCCTAAACACTTTCAATGAATTCTTTCCCCTTTGAGATATCCTGGGCTGTGTTTTCTGCTTCCATTCATCGCAAAAGGAATTCTTGGAAGTTTTGACACCTTTGTTATTCCCCCTATTCACTGTTTTCCTTGAAGGAAGATTTCGTATTTCAGTCTTAGCTGTTCCTTTCTGCTAAGACAAATAATGCAAATCTCTAAATATTTTGATTTCTGAAACCTCCTCCATATCCTACATCCTAAACAGGAGCTATTTATGGAGTCTCTAAAACCCCTGCCTTATGGTGTGTTTCAGCTTTTGATAGAAACCACACATGGTATCTTTAAATCCATCACCAGAACAGATTTGGGATGCAGGAGGACATCTTTTTTTAGCCCCGAAGGCAGCCGGCTCCACCAACCAGCCCTGAGTCATGGCTGGGGGATCACATTGTCATAGTGCCCTGGGAGCTGCCAGATCACTGATGGGGGAAATGCTGGTTTTAACTGGGCCTGCACCAGCTAGAAATAGAAAGAGAATGACTGGGGGAAGTCAGCAATCGTAGGGTGAGGCTCCAAAAAAGACAAGCAAGATCACAGATGAAAAGAGGAGTTTTCCAGAGGGATCAAGACCTTCCAGGAAGGGAACTGAAGTCTGCAAAATGATGAGGGGCCTGGAAAGAGTGGCACATAGCGATTGATTACACACTGTTTCTCACAGAGTGAGAACCATGGACCATCAAATGAAGCTGGCAAGGGCCTGGTTCAAAATGAACAGAAGGCAACAGCTCTTCATGTGAGGAGCTCTTTGCCAAGGGATGTGGTGATCGCAAGGAAATTTCCATGTGTCTGAGTTGAGGCTTGGATTTCATAGTGATAAGCTCAAGATTTGTGAAATGAGAATGGTTGGAGGCTGGGAGAGCACTTGAGGGAGGCAGCACAAATATTTGCTTTTTCTTCAAGGGGTCTGTTGTATATAGCCACATCTGGAGGTACTAAGGCTGGGCAAAAAGGACCCTTCCTTAGCGTACATCCTCTGGGGCTGTTCGTGTTTGATTCCCCAGGACAACTGGTCCTACAGGACTGTGAGGTCGATAGAGTAGTTTGTGAAATCGCATTGAAATCCCTGGACTGAAACTTATGCATCATAATATGCCTCCAGATGGATATTTTTAGTAAATGTCAGCAGAAAGACACCAACAGTTTCTAAGCACACAGCAAGGCAGAAATACACTGCTGCAGTTTGTGCCATTTCCAAGACAAATCTTGGGTGCCTAGAAAAGCCTCACTTTTGGTCAAGAGCCTGCAGAAGTGGCCAGCTGCTGTGTCAGGATATGGCCCTCACAGCAACGTGGTAGTACCCCTAAGGCCAGACACAGGCTTCCTTTGTCTTCCTGAAGGTGCCCTCAGTCCTGAGCACCAACCTTCCTGGAGCTGAGCAGCATCTGCCCAGCAGCTATGGCACCGTGTGACTGGTTTAGCTACGGCAGCTGGGGTTCAGACGACCGAAGACAAAAAAGTGGGTATTGGCTTGGAGATGCCACGGCCGGAGGTTGCTGAGCACTTGACGCTGTGTGGTACCTTGCACTGGAGAAGTCTGCCTCCTGTGGGCTTCTGCTGGAGGGACAGGTGGTGCCGGCAAGTCAGGCCGTGGGATTTTAGGAATCAAGAAAACAAATGAAATGCTTCACAGAGCACTGGTCAGTGTTGGGCTATGCCCATGTTGTAAGGCAGGACAGGGGTAGACTGGCCCTCCAGATCCTTTTAATATCTGAAGGGGGCCTACAAGGATGCTGGAGAAGGACTCTTCATCAGGGACTGTA